CCGTGCCAGGGTTGCAATTTAGGCTCCGCTTCCGACAACGCCCACTTTTCTCCGGGGTTTTTTTTCCCCGGAGTTTTTTTTTCCCCGGACTTTCCGGGGTCTCATTGCAGCTAAATTTTCCGGAATGAACGTTTTTCCATATTTTTCTCCGTTTTCCACCGTTTTTATCAAATTTTCGTGGTATTATCCTTGTCAGAGAAAAAAAGGTTGAGTCGAAGTGTATGTGATGTTTGTAAACAAATATCTGAAAGCGTAAACAACCGGAAACAGTTGAAACGAGTGCGACAGTAACCCGGCGGGAAAATATTAAATTCACTCATTTTTTAGCTTTTTACATATTTTGCAGCAAATTTCGTCGAATATATTTTAAAATACCGCAAAAAACAATGAAAAAAACCATATTCGACGAAATTTGCTGCAAAATATGATGGGGTTATTCATTAGTAAAAAAATGCAAAAAAAAATGCATTTTTTTCCTATTCATTAGTGTAAAAAAATTAATTTTTTTGCATTTTTTTACATCATTTTTTTTACATTTTTTTACATTAAAATGCAGGTCTCTGCGGGACCCACCGGCCGAAATGTCCATGCGCCTTCATTTTGCATTTTAATGTAAAAAAATTGCATTTTAATGTAAAAAAATGTAAAAAAATGATGTAAAAAAATGTAAAAAAATTAATTTTTTTACACTAATGAATAGGAAAAAAATGCAAAGAAATACTAATGAATAACCCCATGAGAAAAACTAAAAAATAGGTAAATTTAACATTTTCCCGCCGGGTTACTGTCGCACTCGTTTCAACTGTTTCCGGTTGTTTACGCTTTCAGATATTTGTTTACAAACATCACATACACTTCGACTCAACCTTTTTTTTCTCTGACAAGGATAATAATTGGATTTTTTTTTAAATTTGGAACAATTTTTGCAGTGTTTTATTTCATATTTTAACTGTTTCCGGAAAATATAGTGACTTTTAGGCCGACATCTAGGTTTTTTGAATTTTTCAGAAAAAATCATTGAATTTGAATATTTTCCTTTGTACGATGATCAAGAAACATATAAAAAATTAGAAAAATTCAATTCCGCGAAAACTGAGAAAAACTTGGGAAATTGCGAAAAAATGGAAAAAGGAGGAAAATGAAGAAACACTGAGAAGACAAACAAGGAGGTGCCTATTATTTTTGATAATTTAATTTCGTCAAAGTTTTGAATCATACCGAGTAAACGATATTGCACAAGGTCGCACAGAGAACAATATATGGGAATTTTGTGAGAATTACTCAAAGCACAAATCTAGTCTCTGAAAAAAAGGCCAGAAAAACAAGCAGAACTCGATAAATACCATCAAAAACGTTCATTTTGATGTATCCCTGAAGACTTTTGCCGATGCTACCCCTTGAGACAACAATCTAAAAACACGATGCAGATAAGGGGAAATTTCGAAAATAAGGACTCGGCAGGTCCCGAAAATAGATAAATAACAAAGGGCATCGCAAATTTCTGACAAGACTGGAAAGTGAAAAAAACAACAATTATTAAACGGAGATGCTTAAGAAAAATTGTTCCTTTGTTCCAATTTTGGGTTATCAGAAAGGATTGAATAATTAAATGATTCCAATCGTTTCATGTCGTTCAGCATTTCAAGCATTCCATAATTCTTCGGAAGTCGAATCTTCAAAAAAAATGAATCGATACATGAAAACAATACTTTAATAAAGGGCCACCCTTTACTTGCACTTTGAGCTCACAGGAAAATCGTGAGGTGGCGCTCTATTAGTGTTTAAGGCACTTGCGAAATTCAGAATGAAATCATGAATACTCACCAACTCGCGTATTCTTTCTACAAATTTGGTATGGAATATGTGAATTATATTATGCTTGTCTGAGAAAAAAGGTTAAGACGCAGAGAAAAAGTGTCTGCGTCTCCACCGTTTGTGCTATTTAGGCTCTCCGCTTCGATATCGCTACCGTATTCAGAGGCAAAAAATACTCTCTAACCTTTTTTTCTCAGACAAGCATATTAGTTGGCCTTCAATATTCTTCCAGCACAATATTCACAAAGAGTATGTCCACATTTTTTCAGCATTAGAGGAGTTTTCTTTCTGTTACTATCACTGTAGGTACGGTAGCAAACGCCACAAAGAGAAAAAAGACTTGCGTTTTTTGTACTTGCGTTAACCCGAATATTCATTTCTAAAGCCTTGGACTCATTCATTCAGCTGCTTTACAAAAAATCATATTCCATTGTCTCTGGGTTTTTCCTTGTTCAACGACTCCTTAAATCGATACCGATCTCATTTTTTCTCCCTCCTCGCACAGTTTCAGAGAGGTTCTCTATTATCGTCATTTCGTGTCTTTAATAAAGACTCTTTATTCAAAAATATGTGAACACATGTCAGAATCACATGAAGCTAGAAATGAAAAGAATTATTCAAAGAATCATCTGATTTTTATTCAAATTCAGAAATTCTCAATGGAGCGCGATTGAAAATCGCTGGCCGCGGACTAAAAATTTGAGTCTCTGGCCTAACAAATGCCATTTCCTGTTTTGAATTTCGAATCCCAGATGCACCGGTTTTAGCTGAAAAACGAGATTTCTTGAATTTCTTTCTCATCTAGGAAAATTTCGGAATATCTGGAAATTAATAAAAATAAGTTCCGAAATTGAAATATAAGCTTCCGGCCGAGTTTTGAAGAAAAATAGGCCGGAAACTAAATTTGAAGATTTCAGGTTCATTTGTTCTATTAAAACTCTCGTGCTTCAGCTCCCTTTTCAAAAATAATTTTTCTATTCTTTGAGGTTTCACAAATGGGCGCTTATTTAAACAGGCCAGTGGTCGAAAAGGAGAAAGAGGAAGGCTCCGGTGACAAGTTCAGCTATGCCTGTACCACAATGCAAGGCTGGAGAGCCAGTCAGGAGGTAATTTGGAAAAAGATTAAACTTTTTGGCAGAAATGAATTTCAGGACGCTCACAACTGTGTTGTCGATCTTCACCCCGAATGGCACATGTTCGCAGTTTACGATGGTCATGGTGGAACCGAAGTGTCCAAATTCACATCTGCAAAGCTTCCCGAATTTCTGAAAGAACGCAAATTCTGGGAGTCCGAGGACATTGGAGAGTGTCTTCAGAAGGCGTTTGTCGATTTTGACGACTTCATTCGCGCCGAAGACTCGATGAAGCTTCTCAAGGAAATTGCCAACGAGGGAAAGCCACGTAGAACGCCAGGAGACGATGCTCAAGACGAAGCGGATCGTATCGATACCATAGAGGAGTCTGCGATTCCGATTACCGAGCTTTTGAAACAGTATGGAGGAGGTGTTGGTGGTGGATTAGGAAAAAGTCTGCTCCGAGCTTTCTTGCAAAATAGAGGCGACGACTCTGACTCTGATGAGGATGAGGAGATGAATGAGGCCGAGGGTGAGGAAGAAGAGGAAGCTGAAGAGGAAGATGGTCAAGAGAAGAAGGAGAATACAGATGATGCTGATGTTGAGGTTGATATTCAGAAGGATGCCGAGAAAGGAGACGTTGAGGAAGAGGAGGAGAAAAAAACGAAGAAGGTTCAGAAGAGATGCAGCAAGTCTCCAATTCAATCGGAAGCTAAGAAGTCTAAGTCAGACGAGTCTGAGGATGCAAAGGCTTCGTCGTCAAGGTTTGTAATACTGAAATTTTGGTTTTGGAAAATAAAAACCGTTTCTATTTTCAGCGGTCAAGAAAAAGGCGCTGAAGTTGAAGATGAAGAGTCTTCGGACAACGACTTCGTTGCTGATGAAGAAGCAGAGGATGAGGACCAATCGGACGAGGAGACCGAAGCGCCCGATTTCGGCCAACTCATGCTCGGCGGAGGAGGAATCGAGGTTCCAGGCGAGGACTCTGGAACCACCGCTTGCGTCGTGCTCGTCGGAAACGACAAAGTTATTGTTGCCAACGCAGGCGACTCTCGTGCAATTCTCTGTCGCGCTGGAAAGGCCATCGACTTGTCTGTAGATCACAAGCCAGAGGATGACGTAGAGACAAAGAGAATCCACGCAGCCGGTGGAACTATCGAAGACGGACGTGTCAATGGAGGTCTCAACTTGTCGCGCGCTTTTGGAGACCACGCTTACAAGAAGAACCACGCTCTTCATCTCAAGGATCAGATGATTACGTAAGACTCAATAAAAGGGCGTTTTTGGAATCTAGTTTCTTTTTTTAGCGCTCATCCAGACATCAAAATCGAGTCTCTTACTCCAGAAGACGAATTCCTCGTAGTTGCTTGTGACGGAATCTGGAACTCGATGGAATCTCAGCAAGTTGCCGATTTTGTCAGCAAGCTGCTTGCCGAGGGTAAGACATGCGCCGAAGTCTGTGATGCTCTTTGCGATGCCTGTCTGGCTGAGAGCACCGAAGGAGACGGTACCGGATGCGACAACATGACAGTCATTTGCACCAATTTCAAGCGCTAGATTTTTTGAATCTAGATCATTCCACTTCTAGCCTTCCACCTAGCCCCGCCCATTCATCCCATCCCTTCCCCTTCAATTGATCCTCATCACCATTCTCTAATAATCCCGTTATTTTTTTAAGTTTAAATTGTTTTGTTTTGTTTTTTATCTATCTCCTCCCATTCTCTTTATTACAGCAGCGCACACAATGCTCAAAGAAAAATAAATATCCTAATGTGCCAAAGTTCTCTTAATCTCCTTTGATCTTCCCCATCACACTGTCCATCCTAGATCCACGTCGTTTCTCTTGGGATTTAGCTTGCTTCATGTCTCGGCACGCTAGGATTTCTTGCTGGAAACAGAATTTTTTTTGGAAGGACAGTATGCTACTTACCGGCTTCAATGGTACATAATGTCTGCATCTGTACACAACCTGCTTCACCTTCACTTTTCCCCCAACGAAATCCAGTTTTAGCACGGAGCTATTGTTCCTGTGACCCTCATAGTTCAGTGCGGAGAACAAGGAGATCAACCTTCCGCCAAAACGAAGAACACATCCTTGTGGATACATCTCTTTGAACAACTGATGTCCACGAAGCACCAGAGAAATCTCATTTTTCGCGCAAAACTCATCAACGACAGTTTTCCCATAAGTAAACGATATTCCACGATGACTAAGTCCCCAGCCATTCCTTTCCGGTTGTGCTGGGTCCGACCAAAGTAGGTCACACGCCAAACCGTATGGTGGCACTACAGATGGGCGGTCGATGACATTGATCTCTTCGATTGATTCCATGTTTGGGGAGAGTCCTCCGTGTGAGCAGAAGACTTTTGAGCCAATCACAGCGGCCAGCGGCATACAGTTGAACGTTTCGATGAACATTTTCCACACAGTTTCTCCTATCTCCTCGCTCTTCCATTGATCGAGACACTCGTCATAGAACCTGAATTTTCTTATTTGTTTAAATAGAACGCACTTTCTTGTCGTGAAATTTGTCTGCGTCCCAGTTTTAGAAAATCCAGCCGGCGACCGCTACGCCGAAACGCGACGCGTCCAAACTTACCCATAATTCAGTGTCGTATTCACATCTTCATGATTGCCACGTAGCAAGTAGACATGATTCGGATAGCGATGTTTCAGACAAAACAGAAGACAAATCACAGCAACACTTTGTGATCCACGATCCACATAATCCCCTAAAAACAGAAATTTCTGGGTGGGCGGAGCGTCACAAGTCATCAGAATCCGCAGGAGATGAATGGATTGTCCGTGCATATCGGCGACTACGGTGATTGGCTCAGCGCCAATTACCAGAAGACACGGTTGCTCGAGAAACACTTTTTTCATTTTTTCAGTCAATTTCGAGATTTCCAGCGGCGAGATATCCACGTTGAGCTGATAGATCTTCTCCATGTCCTCCTCGTAAAGAGTCTGAACTTGCGAGGACAGTATCTTATAGAGTAGCGCGAAAATCTCATCGTCGTGGTTGATCTTTGGGATTTTCTGGAATCATAGGGAACTTCGAACTGATGTGCTATGCAGTTGCGCTTTATTGAGAAAGTGACGTGGCGAAGAAGCCACGTGAACCTTCTCATTGGAGCGCAGTTACCTCCATCATCGAAGCCATCTTGTTTTGTTTATGCAAAATCTTGGGAACTAAAATTTCAACATTTCATCACATTTTTCAGATTTGTTGCCAATGCGTGGCATATCAAGACCTATAAAATTATTATATACATTTATTAGTAGCTTAAAAGTACAAGAGTTATTAAAAATACAGAAATCGAGATCCATTAGAAAGTAAGCTCATCCTCGCCCTCCGACATCTCCTCTTCGCCGCCTTCGACGACTTCTGCATCTCCCTCCTCAGGTGCTTGCTGATTGCTGGGTCCTGGTGTGGCGGCTCGTCTGACTGTTGAGGCATCTGTTCCTCCTTTAGCGGCAGTTTCAGCTTCGCGTTGGTGGATCTTTGAGATTTCTCGGAATAGGCGGTTTCCTTCTTGGCATAGCTGAAAAATCGGGAATTTCGAAAAGATCTTAAAGCGTTAGAAACTCACCGATTCATAGGCCATACACTTTGTCGCATAATCATGCGCCTTCTCGAAATTTTCATACTTAAAATAGTGGTTAGCCAGATATCCAACAGCATACATCACTTTCTCCTCTGCCGACGTTACCAGCTCATAAACCGCCAGGAAGACTTCGAACACTTGCGCGGCCTTATAATGATCCGTACACTTCTCATGTAGTTTTGCCAAATTCCACAGTGCATTTCCTTCGACATCACCAAACAGATAGGCTCCAGTGAAGCACTTCTCAGCGTCTTCGATCTCTTGAAGCTTCGCATACACCTCTCCAAGAGCCACGAGGAGTCGAGAATCGTGTGGTTTGCATTTCTGAGCCTCTTGATAGTAATACAGAGAATACGCGGGCATCTTCATAATATCATACATCTGTCCAAGACCATACCATCCTCTATGATCCGCCGGGTCGATTTCAATGGCTCTTCGATAGGAGACACAAGCCGCCGCGTGGTTTTTCATCTCCATAAACTCATGTCCAATGAGAACCCAGAGAGCCGCAAAGCCAGGATTCAAGCGAAGTGCTCTTTGGAAGAACTTGATGGCGTGCTCGCTATCCCTTCTCATCGCGTGGTAGTTGGCCACAATGCAGCAGGTCTCCCAACGGAATTTATGTGATTCGTAGACATCTTGCGCAAGTTCCGACAGCTTTTTATGATCGTTTCGAATGTAAAGAGAGTCAGAGAGCAGGTGCAGATCAGTCAGTCTATACGGATCCATTTTTCGGACATCCTCAAAGTTGGCAATCGCCTGATCATGATCGTGTCGAGCGTTGGAGCACGATGCGATCTTGGTAATAATCATTGGGAATCCTGACAATCCACGTGCCACCAATTGCTCAGCTTTCTGGATTGCCATTGAGTGTTGCTGGAAGCGTTGGAGGACAAGAACCATGAACCAATCAGCCATCCAGAGAGATTCCACAGACGTGGCAAAGCTGTCAGCGTCTTCGATGTCCTGGATAAGAAGGGTTAGGCTTTCCCAAGCGGGCCAGAGTCTGAAATAAAAAACCGATGTTGCTCTGGATTCTAAAGTCGACATTTCGAATAGAAAGCCTAGAAATCCAGGAGGCTATTGGCAATTTATTGGGCTACCTACCTTGGCTCCTTAACAATCACGCTCTTGAATGATTTCTCTGCTTCTTTCTTCAAGCCAAGTTGAACTTCTAGAAGCCCCATTAGATACTCAAACCAGACATCGTCGTTTTCCCGAAGTTTCTCGTCTTGCATTTTCTGATAAAGGCTTGAAAACGGAGACTTCTTGCCAGAAAAACTAGTTTTTCTCTCAATTCCCTCTGAATCATTCTCCAGGTGCTCTTGAAAATGAGCCAGGAATAACGTTCGATAATAAAGAAAACGATCCGATGGATTCTCCGCCATAGTCTTTTCCAGGAAATGCGCGGCTCTTCTGAAGTCCTTGTTCTTGATTAGGGTCCTGGCGAACCGTGATGTGTAGGAGTGGCGTGGCGTCGAAAAATTCATGGAATCAGCATCTTCTCTCCATTTACTGGGCAGATATGCTAATACTTCTCCTGTCCACATCTCAGCATCCAGGAAGCATCGATCGATAGTTTGCTGATGAAGCCACTCGAGCTCTGAGACGAATTGACGACTATCGATTGCTTCGCGTTGAATCTAAAGAAAAATTGCACAATTAAGCTTTACAAAAAAGAGCTCACCATTGAAATTGATACTCCGGACATTTGAGAGACTTCGAAAGGAGATAAGTCGGCATAATAGGGTTGACCAGCGGCTGGAAGTGCGGAGCTACGGGCGCCGGCTTTTTTAATGAGGGTGAGACGACTCAGGGAACGCTCAAGGGCTCCATCAAACTTGTCATCGTCATCAAGCATCTCGGAGAGCAGAAAACCAACGAATTAAACCAAAAAATCCAATTTTTATTTCAAAAATATTTGTTTGGTAGAGCGCGTTTGCATTGAGGCCTCAATTGAGTCACTTTTTTATTCCAATAAAAGGCCTTTCGATAAATACCAATTCGCACATCAAAAACAAAGATTATAAAAAGAATGTTTATTCACAGGAGTTAATCAGAAAGCAAAAAAAAATGAGATGAAAGGATTTTTGGATGGGGGTGAGAGAGTGATACCTGTATGTATGTGGGGAGGACTGGTACATATTGAAAATAAATGCGCAAAAAGTACTACAAAAAAAAGATCTTGGACATAAAAAATGGGGCAAAAGATATACTATTCTTCAGCTTCCTCTGCCGGATTCCTTATCCTTCTGGTTGGCGTTTTCGAAGCCGAGTCGATTTTTCTAGCACGTCGCATGTACTCACTGGGAGTCATTCCAGAGCCCGTCGTGGATCCTGAAGACGACGTGGAGAAGTGAGGCGGCTCCACACGCCCATTCATCACATCGTACTCGACGCGACGGCTTCGGTAGATGCGCTCGGTTTGTGGTGCACGTTGACGGTGTTCCGAGAAGAAATTGCTCCTGTCTGGCTGTCTGTCGTTTCTGGAATCATAAAAAACTATTTTTTTAAGAAAATAAAAAGAAAAAATACCTTCTATAAGTATTCTGAAGCGATCTGTTCAAGTTGTTACGATATGGAGAGAGCAGACGAGCAGACACACTGCGTGGAACCCGAATCGATTGCACCGATCGTCGTCCATTCTCCGACGCCCTTCTCTTCACAACAACCTCATCCCAGTCCTCCTCATCATCCTGCTCATCCTCCTCCAATTCATAATGTTCTGGCATCTCGTCTAGATCCTGATTCTCATAGTCATCCCGATCCAATAAATCCCCCGTCAGCTCATGAGCATAAATCTCATCCTCCGTGATATGATCATCCTCTCCTTCGATGAATCGAGCCAGTCTGCGACTTAAAAATAGGGTGTCTGGCTTCTATAACCTGTCACTTACCGTCTAGCGCTTCTCACGTTTCCGGCAATCTTCCATGGTCGACTTCCCTCTTGCTTACAGTACTCTCTCAACTGTGCTAACTGCTCTCTGGTGGTCTTCTGCCCAATCTCGTCGTACTCCTCCTCGTTAAGAAGACGTCGTGTCTTTGGGAATATCTTCCTCCATAGAGACCCCAAACCCTTGAAATACCAGTGTAGTCCGGTGAACAGGAAACCACGACTGAGTTGTTGTACAACAAGTGCAACGATTGTTCCAGTGGATACTTCTATGACTTGACAGGAGAAGTAGACCAAGGCGAGAGCTACAAGTTGTAGCGTCCACTGAGCAATGTCATGGGAGCGAGCATCAGTTGGTGGACCTCTCTTATAGCAGACAGCCATGGAGATCAAAAGTACGGTAGCGAAATATCCGATCACATATTTCTGATACTCCATTAAGATGCTTTGAAGGTTGGACCATGCGAAATGAAGCATATAGAGAGAGACGGACCATCCACCAATGAGTATCGGCACCCCGATGGTCTTCTTAGGGGCAACTCGCCAAACAATGAACGCCACAAGTAAAAGGGAAGCGAGGAGACCAAACGAGCATCCACTAGTGTAGTAGAAGAGCACATTTCTCACTAGTTTACCGGCCAGAAGGAAGAGGACAATGGCTCCGACGTAGATACCAACACGGATGTAGTTGACTTCTGGAAATTTGATATTTTCAGATAGGGTTCACCGCTTTCTCTGTCTATTCTAGACCAATACTCACTCCAAATTAACACGGATATTTCGTATGGCTCCGCTGTCGCCACTCCAACTATCGTATCGTTGAACGGACTCAGCTGGTGGGATCTCAGAAGGGCGGCACGCTTTAACAATCCGAAGTAACGATTGTCGTTGTCGTAAAGGTCCTGAACAGTTGTGCAGTTCGAGCCCTGAATTTTTAATTGTTTTGCTTCTTATTTTCCCTGTTTTTTCTCAAAACCTGATAAAATTGGTACTTTTCCGAGTCCGTCAAGTTGATTTGTAGAAAAACATCGGTAATGTGTAGATTGCGTTGTACGGCAACGCTTTCTGATGAAAGAAGTCGAGTTTGTGGGAGTAGTGTTTGGCGCCAACGCGACGCACTTGAGTTAGAGCTGAAAATTCTCGATTTTCTTTTAAAAAAAAACGGTTTGCGGTTTTACCAGCCGGTTGTTGCTCACAATCATCGAATTTCGCTGCCAAACTACTACTTCCAATGAGTAGTACGAGAAGTGTTGTCAGTAAGCGCATCGACGCCGTTGCTGAAATATTTTTCTTCAAATTAGTCGAAAAAAAAACAAGAGTTGAACGAAAAAAGAGAAAAGATTCAAAAATTCAATATTACCGCCCAATGGTCCCACCACGAAAATGAAGTTTTGAGGATTACGGTAACAACTTTTTTTTGCATTAATTTTTTAAAGCAATTATTTTCTTCTGTGACATAAAAAGATAATATTCGCTGGTAAAAATTTTAAAAGTTAAAGAAAAAAATCGCCGAAATTCGAATTTCCCTTCGAGGCCCACCCTTGAGTCCGCAACGACACTCCGCCTCTCCCGCGGGGGACCTTTACACTAAAAGGCTCATTTTCCCCCTCGTTTTTCACCGATTTTACGTTGATTGCTTATCAAAATCGCTAAAAAATTCCAGATTACCTCTGAATTATGCCCGACAATTTGTCGGCAATATTCGAAACAATACTAGATTACGCAGAGGAGGAAGCAGCCGGCACATCGACTTGTAAGCATTGAAAAGCATTAGAAAATCAATAAAATGTTGTTTCCAGGTCAAAATCCACCGAAACAACATCAAAAGCTCTATCACAAAAATGCTGTAGAGATTCTGGAAGACTTTGCACTGCTGAAAAACGAGAAAAAAGAAGAAATCTCATTTCAAGAGTTGGCTCAAAGTTTTATCGATGATTGGGACGTTGCAAATTCAAAGTCGATATCTATTCAGCAGTTGTCGCATTTTCTAAGCTCGCCTAAAATTCAAGGCGTTCTCTGGGCAGCACAGGAAATTTCAGCGGGTCGATTTGCCCCACAACTTCCAGATGTACCGTTTGAAGTTGATGAAGACGATGGGGTGGCTGTGAAAATTGTAATTTTCCTTTTTTTCTCTTAATCATCAAAAGTATCCATTTTCTAGGTCAGAATAGTCCGAAGAGGCGAGCCGCTGGGCGCCACTATCAAATGCGAACGTGGCAAAGTGTACGTAGCACGAATCATGGCCAACGGAGTCGCGGATCGTAGTGGATGCATTCAGGAGAAGGATCGAGTGCTGGAAGTTAACGGGGTCACTGTGGCGGATAAGGAGCCCAGGGAGATTGTGAACTTGTTGGATAAATGTGATAATGGCATAGTGAGCAGGAAAAAAATTATAGAAAAGAAAGAAATTTAAATTTCAGATAACTTTCAAATTGATACCTGCAGAAGTGAATCAGAAGTTGAAGCAGAAAAAGTCATCACATCGTTATGTGAGAGCACTCTTCGACTACGATCCTTGGCAAGATCGCCGTCATCCCTGCCCTGAAGCAGCCATCTCGTTCCGAGCCGGAGATATACTGGAAATCCTCGATGAGAAGGATCAGTACTGGTGGCAGACTAGAAAAATTGGATTCGGAGCACTAGCGAGACGGAAAGAGAGCCATGATGAAGAGCAGATTGGTGGAGAGTCCAGTGATTTTATTTTTGTATGCTTATAAATTTTCAGAAATCTCATTTCAGAAAAAGTTGGCCTAGTCCCATCAGAATGGTTACAGTGCCAATCAGAGAATCCGGATGGTCTAGGCTCGTCAGATGATTTGCAGTTTCTAGAAGTCGGTGAAAGAAGTCCTGCTAAAAATCAAAAAAAGTATTTCCAGAGTCATAAAGATCGCTACTACGAAGGCGTGTTTCGATGGCGGAACAAAAAGAAGCGACGACGAGTAGTGGTGCTTTTGGGAGCTCCCGGCGTTGGACGCAACGAGATTCGAAGGCAGTTCTTTAAAGTTTTCGCTGATAGATTCACCAACGCCATTCCACATACGAGTAGACCTCCAAGGTAAGCTATTTTTAACCTCAATCATGCTTGCCTCATGAAAAGAGAGAGCTCTTACACACATAAAAATTTAAAACAAGGTACAAAGCCGTTAAGCCTCTTGTTAATGACCCTCTGAGAACTAATTGACTTTCTGGGAAACCTAATTCACTTGAACTCTGAACGTTTGGAAGCAAGCGAGCGAGAAGGTTTTCTAAGAAAGAATGCAGAAAAAAAAAACAACTTTTAGTCTGCAAGTTGAAAAAAATAGAGAGCTAAAAAACATTTCCGTGCAGTACACCGAACGCGATATTGCATATTTTTGTCTACAGTAATCCCAGGAAAATGTTTTTGTTCTAAAAAATACAATTCCTGGTCTGCGAAAATGGATACCGTAGAACCTGTAATAGAAGGTCTGGCCCTTCTATTGATCCAAGGTACCTCCGGAGGGCCCTTCTATTAGAGGGTCCCTTTAATTACAGGGGAGGGGGGCTCTATTTTTCCGACCATTTTTTAAAAAAAGCGCTCAAAATGCATGAAAATTCATCAACTTCACCAACATGAGGCAAGTTTTTGAGCGAAAACGCTGTTTCAAATGAGTTCTATAAAAATTCGGAGTTTCTGGGACATTTATCACTGAAAACGGATGATTTTTTTTTCATTAAAGGAGCTCTTCTAATACAGGTTTTTCGGCAGTTATGAAAGCTAGCTTGAAAGTTCAATATTCCATAATTGCTAAACTTTGCTCTGAAAAACATTTATTTATTTATTTATTTATTTACGATTGCAAGTAAAATAATAGAATGAACTAGAACTAGAGTGACCATTAAAAAGAAATAGGGAGTGGAGAATGATACCTGTCAAGCATAAATGAACATAACATACCAAAGTTTAATGATCTTGCGTGCATTTTCTATCATTTCCTGGGATGCCGGCTTCAATTTGCCTTTTATCCTCTATGCAAAAAATTAATCGCCCTGTCATCAATTTCCTGAGCAATTTCTCCTTTTTTTCTCCGAATTAAGCTTTCTTGCAGACCCAACGAGACGGACGGCGTCAGCTACCACTTCACGACACGTGCCGAAATGGAACGAATGATTGAGCGAAAAGAGATGTTGGAGTACGGAGAGTTCCGAGACAATTTATACGGAACCGCTCTGCAATCCGTCAGGCGTGCCAGCGAACGAGGCACCGTGCTTCTGACACCCCATCCGTTGGCCATTGAGAATATCCGCACGTGGGAGTTCGCGCCGATTGTGATATTTGTGCAACCGCCGGATTTTGGAGAGTTTAAGGTTGGTAGAGGCCTATTTTTAGCATACTTGCGACCGGGCCTTCGCGGGATCTGCCATAGTTTCTTTTAGAATCAATGTTTTCAGACCAATTAAATTAGACATGATACAACTCTGCGAGTTCTACAAAATGATACTATGTATTTGGAGAACTGTGTATTTGTCTATGAACAAAGTTACAGACAAAAACAGAGGCCCGGTCATTTTATGACTTGTAACTTTGTTCATAGACAAGACACAGTTCTCTAAATAGTATCATTTTGTAAGCGCAGAGTTCTATCATGTCTAATTTAGTTGGTCTATAAATATTGTTTCTGGAAGAAACTATGGCAAGGCCCGCGAAGGACCAGGCAAAGGCCCGGCCGCAAGTATGATATTCAGCTATTTTTAGGCTGCGAGTTTGCTATATTTTTCAGCACACCCGAGAGGTCTACCGTGCCCAAACCACACGTTCCCACTCGGCCGCTTCCTCATCCAACGTCTCCCAAAACACCGCAGCTACAAATGCTCGCGCGTTCTCCGACACTGAAATCCGTCAAATTATTGAGAATTCCGCACAAATGGAGCAGAAATATAGGGGAGTGTGTGATGCGATCATACGAAACGTCGATTTCGAGACGACAATGAACGAGTTGACTGGTCTGATCTATAATCTCGAATCGAAAGCCACGTGGATGCCGACCAAGTGGTTAGCTGATATTGGAGAATAATTGCTCATAATAATTTTTCTTTTTTTCAAACAATCCTCCTCATAGGTGCTGTAACATAATAATTTTTATTTGCTCGGCTAATTTTTCCTGTACCCAAATTTTTGCTTCATGTACCACATTCCCCTTATATGCATCTTTTTCTTCTTCTTGTCTTTTTTTGTCTCCTCTCAATAACTAATAAAAAACCAAAACGTCACTTCTCATCCGTCTTCAAAACTCCCTCAAGGCCCTCCTCTCGAAGCTCCACCCTCTAGGCCACGCCCACATTCTCCAGCCTCCCCCAGCTTCTTGTTCTTCTTTCTTTCTTCTTGCTTGTTTCTCAGAAGATATTATTCTGAGACCAAGAATATTCTGCTGCTGCCGATCTACTTTTCTTTTACTGATCTACCAGAATCTCTGAAAATGTTGGGCGCACAAGCTTTACGGACTAAACAGGTTTGTTGACTTTGGGCTTTTTGTCTGAAAGTCGCGTTTTCTGAAGAAGCACGCGATTAGAAGTGGTCCTAATGGGTAAACAAATGGGGATAGACTATAAGGACGTTCACTAGAATGGCTTAAAGAATCGGAAAGCTAAAAATAGATTTTTTTAAAGGGGGACTCCGGTCAATTTTTTTATTGCAAAAAAAAAAATTCAAAAGAGGGATTGGCCGCCCGAGGNANNAAGGATTNNCANNGGAGAAACCTAGGCCACGCGAGCGGCGCGACCTTCTTACCGGACAATTTTCTCGGATATGTTTCGCTTTTATCTCCGACAGGTAAAAAACGTTAAAAAACACTGTCGGCCACTTGAAAATAATGCTCTCAGGCGCCGTGGCCTAGGCTTCTCACTGCGCGGGAATTCAAATCCTCGTCCCTCGGCGGCACCCTTTTTTTGAATTTTTTTCGTTTTCAACAGCGTTTTTCGGGGGTTTCGGATTTCTTTTCTTTTGAATTTTCGCAATAATATTAGGAAAATAGATAACTTTTAACACATTTTCATACAATAAAAATTTTCACATTTTCATACAATAAAAACTCATTAATCTTTAGTCGAATTTTTTTATTAAACAGAGAAAATGTTGAAAATCGGCCAAAACGATATAAAAATTAATTAAGAAGTACGGTATTAAAGGCGCATGGCTCTTTTTTGGCTGTTTCTCTTTTTTTTAAAGGAAAGTCAAATGCTACAAAAGAAAAGGAATGAATTTTTGATCTAGCTCCTAGTTCCTTATTAATTCCGTACCAGAACAGAACGCGGACAGAATCGAACTGTTACAAGTTCGAACTGGTAAGGAGTCGAACTGTCCCAAATTGGAACGCTGCCTGCAACAGAGCGCGCATGAAAGCACACACAAAACAGCGTTCCAATTTGGGGCAGTTCGACTCCTTACCAGTTCGAACTTGTAACAATTCGATTCTGTCCGCGTTCTGTTCTGGTACGTGTGCGAAAAAAAGGACTGTTCTGAATTGAATCAGTTCGATTTTAGGTCTGTTCGAATTTGAAAACGTTCGAATTCGTCGTACCCCCCACCACGCGGTAAGACTACAGTAATAAATGACCGCTTTTTGAAATTTTTAGTCAAATGCTACAAAAGAAAAGGAATGAATTTTTGATCTAGCTCCTAGTTCCTTATTTTTTCCGCTCCTTGAATTTCCCAATATTCTATCCACTTTTATGATCAAAAATTCAAATGTCAAATTTTCATCCAATTTCGTTCAAGAAGTACCCTCTAGAATATTCTATGACCCATTTGATTAGAAGCGGAAATTCTAGAAGACACTGACCCAGTTTTTTTCTATTTTTATCTTCCAAAAGAACCCCATCAAACATTCCCGAAGAGCCCAGAGGACGTTTGTCCAATTAATTTCTCTTTCTCCTCTTGGCCTCTTGGTCTCTCCGGGATCTTTTTATTTCTTGGGGATAAATTTTGCACAAAGGGAGAAGGAAGCGATATCAAAAAGTGTCAGGTGTCACACATACCTGAAACTTCTTCACACTTTTATACCTTGCATGATGGATTCTTTGCCTGCACGGATTTTATTGTCTGAGCAATTGTTCCAAAAGTTTTCGAGAAAAAGAAAAGATAGTGTGATCCCATACCACATGTTGTTATTGCATTATGTGGTGGTCTAGAGCTCTGCAGAAAGAAGATCTTCAGGTGTCTTTACGATTTGCTCCGTTGCATGAGGAACTAAAAGTATTTTTCAAAAAAAAAAGAAAGAAAGTTGACAGCTCGTAGCACATGGGAAAGTACAGATACACTTTTTTCGTGAAAAGTGGGATGACATAAGATAAATTTGAGGCTAGCTAGAACAACGAAAATTTGAAGCATTCAAGATTCAAGGTTCAAGAGCCGTAAAACCTGTAATAGAAGGGCGCCCAAGTTTGAGCTACGTTGTCTGACTTCCTAATCAAGATATCAAAAATGTGTCAATTGATAAAATGTTTGTGATAGTATGATAAGCACTTTATCAGTTGACAACTTTTGTATATCTATGACAGGGAATGAGATAAATTGGCTCAAAGTTAAGTGGTAGAAGGCTCTTGCAGGACCTGAAGAAGAAGCATGTTTGAAAACTCCAAAATTGTTTTTTTCGTCTGAAATTATATTATTTGTCTGTATTACCACGGTTTCGAAATGACTGGTTTCGAAGTGTCGCGGTTTCGAAGTGAAGCGGCGCCTGAAAATCCCAGAAAAAAATATAAAAAATTGTCTTGTCTTTGAATTCTGAAAAACTGATGAAGATCTGAAAAATTTCTCATAATTTTATTTTAGAAATATTCAACTTTCGCAACTTTCAAATTTCGTGCAATCTAGAAAGAAGAAAAATCCAATTGTTCTGTGATCTTTCTCCGTCCCTCCCCCAAAAATAAAATGATCCTCCGCGTCACTGAGTTCTCTCAATAAAAAACAGGAAGCGATCCGGAAGGACGGCAATGTTCTTTGAGTTGTCCCTTACTACTACAAATCTTCGCAAATTTTTTTCCCTTCCAAAAAGTGACGTGCTTTTTAGAACTTCTTTTTAGAACTCCCAAAAAAAGCACTTTCAAAAATCCCCTAGTATCCTTATTTATGACCCCGATTATCCTAAAGCTTTCGTCCCCAATTTTTTTGGGCTTCCAGAACCTTCCTCTAGCTTTTTTGATCTACCCCATAAAAGTTGATGAATGAGTGAGAAGAAGAAAAGTCAGAAGACGTTGGGATTCTGGAGAATGACAAAAATGACAAAATGAGAAAACAGAAACATAAAAAGGGAATATAAAAAATTAAACATATGATGTTTCTTATTTTTACAGAAAGCCGAACGGAAGGAAAAAGAAAAACGCCATCGGGAACGACTTCGTAGTATTGAGATGCAACGGAATCAGATGCATCGTAACGCATGGTTAGTCAGTAGTCGTGGGAAATGGTCATCGCTTTGAATGACTCTAATAGAAGGGCTCCTCAATGCCTTAAGGACGGCTATTTAATAAAATTCTGCGGTAAAGTAAGAAATATGTAGAAGGCCCCCCCCCCCTAACTTTTACTTTGATTTTGTCCTAATTTCAATTGGTTCTTGTGGAAAATAGAAAAAAGTTGTCATCCTGATAATTAGTTTAACATAATATCATAAACATTCAATCAGTTGACATAGTCTTGGTATCTTGCATAGGAATCGAGACAATTGAGGCCAAGCTTTTATGTACAGTACTCTAGAACTCCACTAGCTTTTCTCCATTTCCGCGCCCCCTTTTTTAACTCGAAGATTTATTACAAACTTCCTTTTTTTTTAACTCGACCGAACTTAGATCTATTTGAGTGCATACAAGTTCTCCCAACTTCCCCATTTCTACTCAATATCGGACCCATGACAGGCGGCCGGATTTTCTGTCCCCAGAGATTTTTGGAATTTTTTCTCGCGCCAACTCCAGAATCCTATCGTCAGCTCCCGAAAAGAGTTGGAGCATTTATCAAAAAAAAATTTTCGCGTCCCAGCTTCCTCTCTCTGTGAACATGGGGCAATTTTTTTTTTTCGCCCAATATTGTCTCTGTAAAACATCAAAACTTTTCCTTTTTCTTCTGAAGGCGATGGCGGTGGTGGTGTCTTGTCTTCTCCACAACGTCTTCAGGGAATTCTGTAGAAGTGAAAATTTTCATCTTCTTTTTCTTTTTGTCTTTTTTTTGTAGAAACAGAAGAAAAAACGAAGAGTGTCTTTTTTTAGACTCGACTTTCGGATTTACATGGACTTCATAGACCACTGACAAGATATGTGAAGAGAGTGAATTGGGAGGAAGAAAATTTTGGGGATTAGAAATTTCTGGAAAAATTTAGAATCCTATAATGAGAAGTGGGACCTCAGGCAGGCCGTTGGCGGGACGTTGGCGGGACGTTGGCGGGACGTTGGCGGGACGTTGGCGGGCCTTTGGCGGCCGGTTGGCGCGTGCCATAAAATGTACCGCGTTTAGATTAAACGGGGTTTTAGCGGATTTTTTTGGCTAGTATCACACCAGATTTCAAAAAAATCACTTTGTGAATGCAAGAATAATACGGGGGATTTTCAAAATTCATCTAGATACAACGCAAACTGGCTTTGGGCGGGCTTCTGGCGGGCCAAAAGCTGGCGGCTGAATGGCGGCTGGTCGGCACCTGCTAGGAATTTTTCAGCTAGTATCATACTAGATTTCAGCTTAATCATTTTGTGAATGCAAGAATGATAGGTGGAATTTCCGAAACTCACCTAGATACAGCGCTGGCGTGCCAGGGAATACACCGCCTCTAGACCAAATGGTTTTCTTATGAATTCATATATTACTATCAAAATAGATTTAAATTTTATCATTCTGGGCTTCCGGATGTCATGATGTCCGCACATTTCAACACTGAACTTCCAAATCGATAAACCCAGACTTTGATCTGTCACTGACATTTCCTTTTTACTGCTCTAACAATAAGGAAAAAAGAAAGAACAAAACGAATTTGATGTGCACTTGACACCAATTTCCTTCTCCAATTTTGAAGACTCGGGACCAATGGTCGATTGTCTTCTCCTTCTTTTTTTTCGTGTTGCAAAAAAAGAGAAAAATGGGAAATATTTGTAAACCCACAGTTTCTTCTCTTTGAAGTAGGAAGTGAAAATAAAGGATGAATAGGTCATGTGGGGACTTATGAGAAGTGCTTTCTGCAAAAAAACTCAATGTAGTGTTGGGACATCTGGATGAATAAAGGTACGGATAGAAGATTTGATGGAACATCTTGGGATTTCCTTGGACTAAAATTTTTGGGATTTAAAATTTTTGGAATTGTTTTAAAACATAGATGATCATTGGAGTTTCGAAATTCACCTAGATACAGAGACTGGCGAGCCACGGGCGAATGAATGGCTGCCGGTTGGCGGTCGGTTGGTTTGAGTGGTTTTATAATGGATTTTTTGGGCAGATCCGGGTGTCCCGATTTCCAAATTGGAGATCAAAACCAAACTTAAAAGATAGGTCAAATTTTCTCATTGCGCTGTTATCGATATTTTCCAGCCTTAAAGGAACACTTCTCTTATCATACTTGATCAACTCGGTTAAGTCCCAAATGTTGTTATTTTTAACCAGAATCTGAGACAGAACATATCAGGTGTCAACAATCTTCTCTTCTTCCACCCAGTGTGCTTTTTTCTTTTGTTTCCGTTGTGGCTGCCCGTTAGTTTCTTCTGAATGGACGTCCTTTATCGAGGGGCGGAAAACAGAAACAAGACAGATTTTTTAGAGGGAAAAGGGGAAAAACAACGGGGGATTTTCTAGAAATATGGCTGTTTTTGGGATAGGTTTCGAAGTGTTTGATCTTGTACTCTAAAAAACTGAAAAACTGGGCTCAAAATGGGCCGTGAACATGCTTGAAGGAGGCAAGTCAGAAAAAAATTTCTAGATCTTTTGCCTAGAGAACCTTCATGAAGAAGTCATGAGGAACAGATCAGGGGTACAGTGCCGGACCTATGGACGGACCACAGAATCTATAGACATCATGACTGACGGACATCTGGGACTGTTGTATTGTATGATAAGCACAAACTTTAAAAAGTTTGAACTATAATTTCCAGGTCTCCATTGACCTCTTTTTTTTATTCGTCATTTTCTCCATTACTTCCTCATAATTCCCTTGTCTGAACCCTGATCGCTGTGAACACGTAGAAAAAAGTGTCTCCTAAAAATAGGCATACAAAAGGCGGAAATCCCAAATAAATTTGTCAAAAAAGGCAACGGATGGCGGGAACTCTTTATTCGTCGGGTGACACTAAAAATTGTTGCTGCTACAACACAGTGTCAACATATTTTCTCAGGAGATCTTTGAGCTCTTCGGGCCCTCTTTATTTTATCTTTTTCTTTTTTTTTTGCTTGTCTCCTTATTTTCTACATGAGAGATAAAGAGTCATGCTTTTTTGTCTCTCTAGTCATAGAACAAGACAAAAACTCGAGAAAAAACCAAATTCAATATTTTTGGGTGAGAGTAGTGTGCTAGACTCAATTCCCTTATGGAAATTGTGATCTTTTTGGTTTTCTGGGTGGGATGGAGGCTGACAGAATTTCAGTGGAAATTTGAAAACTCGTTGTAAATGAAAAAAGAGAAACTAGGGGAAGTACCGTGAACACTCTAAATGAAAGATACCCTATAATTGCACTTTGAGCCAATTTATCTCAGTTCCCGTAAATGATATCAAAAAGTGGTTGATTAACAAAATGTTCTAGATACTAAAATAAACATTTTGACAGTTGACCATTTTTAGATATCTGCTACAGTAATCGATATAAAAGTGCAAGTATAGGGTGGCCTTCTATTAGAGTGTTTACAATAAAAAACGCAATAAAAAAACAATTTAAAATAACTAGAGCTTCGGTTTGGTTTGTATTTAAAAATTCTAAAACTTCTAAAAACTCAAGTTTTCAGCGAAGATGCGGCCGCCCAATTCATGGAGATCACCGCCAATCCACCGTTGAAAGTTCGTTCGATGAGTCTGAGTAAAAGTGGTGACGAATTGCTTATTGTGAGCGCTTTCTGTTCTTTTTTAATAGTGTTTTCCGATTTCTATGTTAGACTCTTTCCCCTTTTTTTCTTGAATTTTCAATATACTCCCCCTTAGTTTAGCTCAGTGCCATCTTAAAAACCGCCCATTCTTCTCTAGGTCACCACAAAGCATCGTCACTCTGTTCATTCCGGCACAGTACCACATTTGCAAGTTCGTATGACTCATCGGAACAGTAGCTCGAATGGGAGCACTGATCGATTTGAGTTGGAACCAGTGGTAAGGCTTTTTGAATAGGAGACCATCCAAACCGTAAACTTTGAGCTCAATTATCTCGACTCCTATGAAAGATATCAAAAATGTGTCAACTGATAAATTATTTATCATAACATCACCAATATTGTATCAGTTAACAAAATTTTGATATCGTCCACAGGAAGCGAGAAAAGTGAGCTCAAAGTTAATGTGGGCTTCTGTTAGAGGGATTACGGGGTATCCTCCAAATCTAAAAATTTTAGGAGCCAACCTCTGGTGGACCACAACGAAGCACGTCCAGTGACTACTGTAAAGTGGATAAGAAGAATTCAATATCTGGTACCACACGCCTCTTAAAATGGTTGGGGATTTCGGACAAGCAGACATCGGAACCGACGGAGCAGCCCGCAAAGAAGCCAATGTCCAAGCGCCGGATGTCTACATTTACCTAATTTGATTTTTGAAATATTTTTCAAATTTCTATAAACTTCTCATTTGCTTTAACTACAGTATTCCCCTCTTTTTTCAAATTCTTCTCCATTTCTTCTCCTGGTGGTCTCATAAATATACTTTTCCTTGTTCTCTCCCTCTGAAAAATCCAAACCTGACATTTTTCCTCCTCCCCCATCTTTCTTTTTCTCTTCTGAAAAATTTCTGTGGCTTGAAATACAAATTTTTATTTTTGAAAAATTTACGAAAATTCTATTTATGCTCGCCTGTAACATTTGCATTGTTAATTAAATTAGTAGTATGCCATGTTTGGGGAAGTGTCTAATTATGACACCTAGAGGCTAATTGACGTTTTCTGCCCGTTCTGAAAATATGTTTAGACACTTTCCAAAATGAGCATACTCCTAATAAAAGATTTTATTGAGAAATGAATAAAAGAACTTCTATGAAGAATATGAGTTTTTTGAATACACTACACTTCAACTTCAAACTTAATTATCTCGGTTGCTATAAGAGATATCAAAAAGTGATAAACTGATGAAATGTCTATCATAGCATTAGTAACAATTTATCAGTTGATTACTTTCTGATAATGTTCACAGGAAACGAGATAAATTGATTCAAAGTTGAGAAGGCAACTCTTTCCAGCTGAGCTACGCGGCGGCTGCAGAACCTTTCAACTTTGACCCAATTTATCTAAGTTCCTGTGAGAAATATCCAAAAGTGGTGAACTGACAAAATGTTTATCATAAAATTGGTTACATTTTATCAGTTGACCACTTTTTGATATTTTTCACAGGAACCGAAATAATAGAGTTCAAAGTGCAATTATATTATTTATGCAATTTGGGGATCAGGAATTTTCAGTCTCGCTGAAAAGTGAGTCATCTCCCTCAACAATTCTTACTGTAAACCATGACTGACAAAAAGACCCTACACTTGATATTATGACTATTATTCTTCACCTTGTCTTCTTTTGTTTCATTTCCTCTCTCCAGTTACGTAATCTTGATTGCGTAGTCATCCTCCTCATCGTCGCAATCGCTTTTTCGTTCGAAAACGCAAAATATATACAGATAGAGAAAAAGAAAATGAATATATCGCGCAACACCATGAAGCAAACGAGCTTCTCTTATTCAGAATAACCCGTTTCTAGCCCTTCTGGCGTCTCTCTTCCAATCAACACTATTTCGCCAATATTGCTTACCAGAACTTTCGGTTTTTGTTTCGCGCCCTTGGAGAGATTGGATGGAAAGGGGTGGCAAAGAAGAAGAAGCAGAAGCAGAAGCGAAAAAATTTCATTCTGTTTAGAACAAAATCACGATGAAACGATTCGGATTAATTGCAGTCTTGGTGGCCACTGTTTTTGCCCAGAATGGTAGGATTTTAGCTTAAAAGGTTTTAATTGAAAGTGTAATTTCAGATTCGTTTGATTTGGTTGACGCAGATAATGATGGAAAGTTGTCAGAGAAGGAATTGAGCATTTTTATGAGGAAGAGAGGGCGTCCAGATGGGAAAGGTAACTATTGCTTTGACCTAAATTAGCTGAGCTCCAAAAATGATAAGTTTAAAAACTTGAATTTGGGTCTTGGTTTTTTCATTTCTTCTGGGAACCTATATATTAAGAGTCAACGTCTTTAATATGAGAGATATCCTTTAATTTTCATTAATGTAGCATTACCTCTAATAGAAGTTGAGCTCAAATTTTACGGTTTTCATTTCAAAATACCCGAAAATTTAATTGAATCTTTTTTCTACTTTCCTGTAAGCTAACAATTTTTAGGTTTTATTTTTTCGATGTTCTTTCTCAAGGTATTTTTGAATTTCTATGGGATTCTTGTCTAGTGTGCGGTGGAGCGAGGAATCCATCATGATATTTTGATTACTTGATTAACTGAATTTCCTATTTCTCAAATATCTCTCTTGTGCTTCCAAGGTCATCAGTTGACTTGACTTTTTATAGTTCCAGTTTCTTTATAGTATTACTCACCCCCCTCTCTCTCTCTCTCTCTCTCTCTTTCCTCAAGTGTAATAGTAGTAGACGAGATGACTAGGTATCCAGTTAGTATACCAAAGCATCAGAAATCGAACTATACTTATTCCAGAATACTTCCAACGCTTTGATCTGGATCGTAATGGCCACCTCGACATCTCCGAATTCGTTCCACTAGTCTACGAAATGAGCCGCCGGCCAGTGGATATGGATTATCAGTTCTTCAAGAAAATGGATTTGAATGATGACGGAATTGTGGATAAATTGGAAGTGGAGAAGATTAGAAAAGATAATAACGATAGAATTATTGATGGTATTTTGTCGATTGCTGATGTTAACCTAGACGGTCAATTGACTTATGAGGAGTTCAAGAGCCATCTGTCCCAGGGATCGAAGTTGAACGCTGCCGATGAGCAGAGAAACCATGCACTTCAATTGTTGTCTTTCATTGATTCAAATGGAGATAACAGATTGGATCAGTTGGAGTTGTATAACTTCTCTCAGAAAACTTCAACCAATAAGGTAAGGGCCGGGAAATTTGGCCGGGGTGCTACTTTGGTATCTACCGTGTTTCCTGTAATAGAAGTCTCCCAAAGCATTAACTTTAAGCTGATTTATCTCGATTCCTGTGAATGATATCAGCAGTTTTACCACTTATGAAATATTGGTGCTTTTATGATGAATAGTTTATTAGTTGACAAATTCCTGATTTTTTTACAGGAACCGAGATAATTGAGCTCAAAGATGAAGGTTTGGGCGGGCACCTATTAGAGGAAATACTGTAATTACTCTGCAACCCAATATGATAAAAAGTTTAAACTTAAAACCAGTTCCAGGTCACTAAATCCGATGTCCAACAAATTTTCGCTATGCTCGACAAAAACCAAGACGGATACTTGACAGAAAACGAGTTGGTCCACCTCGCTCAACAATTCTCAACGATTGGAAATGTCCGCTCCACAATTCCAAAGGTCTAGGCTCCTCCCAAAGATATTATTTTTGTATATGTGTTAAAAAAGAAAATATAAGAAAAATTTACAAAATTAAATAAATATGAGTTAAATAATACTCCTATCTGAATTGCAATCTACCAAACCATCTGAAAATCCTACGCCAGGTGAAAGACAAAATGATAATTATGGAGATTCGAAGAAATCGGAAAAACGATTGAAACCATGTGTTTCGACGCTGTAAATAAGGCTATCATGTTTAGCAATAGAGCACAATTGCTTACCTTATGCATTCGATTTAACAAATGCATGATGACCTTCAATTGAAGAGCATTCGTCGCTTCTACGCTATTCAATTGCCTAGAAATTTCCATTAACTGCTCGTTGAGCTGCATTAGCAGAGGATAGTGAGCCATTTCTTGGAACTGGGAAAATCAGTTTAGGAAAGTCATGAGCATTGAACTTACCGCGAAATTCAAAACTTTCCAGTCACTGCTATGATCACTTCCCGAGTTGCTCCGTCGCTTCGATCCGGTGGCACGTCGGCTATGCATTTCTGCGGGTTCTGAAAGCAAACTTCGAGCTCAATTATCTCGGCACTTATTAGAGATATCAAAAATCTGTCAACTGATAAAATGTTGGTGATATTATGGTAAAGATTTTATTGCTTGACAAACTTTTTCTATCTTTCACAGTACCCGAGATAATTAAGCTCTAAGATGACAATATATATCTACCGTCAATACTTCTATACTTACGCAATTTTTCCAAACTCGAATGCTCACTGCTTGACTCGCGACTATAACATTTTGCCATCCTTTCTCGATTCGTTAATAACATTTTAGACACACTTTTCTTATTCTCCCTTCTCATTTTTGACGATGCCACCAGATGAGTTTTCAGCGAATTACACAGTTTTGCAAGTTCCTCTCCACTGGACACCGCGTCTTCGTAGTCGGATGCAACTAGCACTTCCTGGAAAAAACTTGAAAATTCAAAATTTAAAAAAAAAACACTAACCGGAATGTGCTCAGAAGTGGGTCGGTTTGTTGAAGCCATTTCCCCGTTTTCTGTAAATGTAAAAACTGCAATCCGGCAGAACAAGACAATGTTGGTGATAAGCTGATAAAAAATTTATTGATGAGTTGATAATACTGGGTAAGGAAAAAAAGTTGGTGTTTGAAAAAAAAGAAAAATGGTCGTTCAAGAAGCGGAATACTTTGACCCTGAATTTTTTCAAAGTTGTAGCCTACTAGTCATTTTAAATAGTGCCAAAAAATCTTTGAGCCAATTTATCTCGGTTTCTGTCGAAGATATAAAAAAGATGTCAACTGATTAACTGTTTATCATAATGTCAGGAGTATTTTATTAGTTGACCAATTTGTTATATCTTGTATAGGAAACGAGATATATCAGCTCAAACTTGACAGGGTGGAGGGGCCTTCCCTCTCAAAGTGACGTCATTTTAAATTTTGAAAAAAAGAGCTTCAGAAAATGAAAATTTTCAAATACTCAAACTGAAAAAAAGGAGTGCTGGTAGATAGAAAAAGTAAAAAATTGTTCAACCAAAAACACAGAAAGTCTCCTGATGTATCAGAATGTAGTCTCTTATCATTGCATTCTTCTCTGTCCTCTGGTTTTCTACATGTCTGACGTCTCTCCCTCTCTCACTCTTTTTTTATTTTACACTCTCTGATTAAATCAATTTAATTACTAAAAGAAAAATTTTTAAAGCATTATAATTTTTTATGTTGAAGTGTTTTCTTTTTCAAGACAATACAGAATGCCAAAAACCCATGACAACATCCCAAAGTTTCAATTTTCTGATTTTTTTTCGATTTGTTCAAAATCTTATATAATTCGTTCGTTCATAAATTAATAATTCATAATATGATGCATTTTTGACAAAATATGCCAAGTTGCTTCATCTTTTCAAACTTCCCTCCACTTTTAGCGCCGCGGGGACTAGTTTTCCCCCCTCCGCGGCCACTGGTCTCACAGCGAGATGACGTGTAGTTATGTGCTGGCTTCACTGATTTTTATCGTTTTTCTTCCGTTTTTAACCGAATTTTGCCAATTTTTTTCAAATTTTTATCAAAAATCGAATTCTCGAGCAAAAATAACATTAAGTTAATGTTAATTATCGAATTTTTGAGTGTAAAAAACTCCAAAAATCGATTTTTCGGGAATTAGTCGGTTTTCACAATTTTCCGGTTGAATAATAATTAAAAAGGCATTCAAAATCCAGAATAGTTGAAAGAAAAATTAAATTCATCGTTTTGGCTTTTTCCTTCATCAATTTGTTTTCATCCGTTTAAAAATTAGATTTTCAGTGAAAAACCTTCGCAAAAATGGTGTTGATCGCGGCGTGCATCTTCGCAAAATCTGGAAAAGCCCTAGTGGCTCGTCAATTCGTCAATGATATGACTCGTGCTCGTCTCGAGGGTCTTCTCGATGCATTCCCAAAGCTCATAGGAAATGAGAAGGAAGCTGGTAAGGATTAAATTGATTTAAAAAAAAATAAATATCTTTCCAGCCACCCGTCAGCATACATTTGTCGAGACCGACAGCGTTCGCTATGTCTACCACCCACTGGACAACATCTATGTGGTTCTTGTGACCACAAAGAACTCGAACATTCTGGAAGATCTCGAAACCCTTCGCCTCTTCTCTCGTGTCATTCCAGAATACTGCCGTTCGAATGACGAGAAGGAAATTCTCGCTCACGACTTCGACCTAATTTTTGCATTCGATGAAGTAGTCACTCTTGGATATCGTGAGAGCGTGAATCTCGCTCAGATTCGTACTTTCACTGAAATGGATTCTCACGAGGAGCGTGTCTTCATGCAAATCAAGGAAGCACAGGAGAAGGCTGCCAAACAGGCGATGGCTGAGAAGGCCAAGGAATTGAAGAGAGCTCAGAAGGAGGCGTTGAGCAGAGGACTCAAACCAAGCTATCAGTCCAGCACTGGAATTTCCTCTTCTACTCCATCAGCTGCTGCAGTTTCTGAGCCAGTGGCTCCAAGACCTGCTGCTCCGAAGGGACCAATCGGAGGTGGAAAGGCGTTGAAGTTGGGAGGAAAAACAACAAATGAGGACGATTTCTTGAACACTTTGAGGCAACAGGGACAGAGTATTGCGCCTGTTGAGAAGGCTAGTCTTTCAGGTGAGATTACATAAAAATATGTCGGGAAATTAATATTCGATTTTTTCCAGGTGGTCCATCTTCTCTCACCGCTCCAGTCTCCTCGGCGCCACGTGTCAAGCGAGAAGCTGTTCACGTTCGTACTGACGAGAAGATCAACGCTCGTGTTAGTCGTGATGGAGGCCTCGAATCCGGAGAAGTCGTCGCCACAGTGTCTCTATCTGTTGCCACTCCAGATCTCAATAACGTGGCGATCCAGATGAGCGATGCAGCGACAATCTCAGGCGTTCAACTGCAAGTGCATCCGAATCTTGATAAGAAGGAGTGGCAGACATCGTCGATTCTCAAGGTGAAACCGAATGGAAAGCCATATCCAGTGAACTCGGATGTGGGAATTCTCAAGTGGAAGCAAGTTTTAGCAGAGGAGGATCAGTTGCCTATTTCATGTAAGTTGGTTTATCAAATGGCTTTGACAATTGAAAGTGCCAAAGAAGAACCAGCTCAGAATAAAAAAAAACTCCCCATTTACAGTGAACTGCTGGCCACAAGAATCGTCTGACGGAGTGCAAGTCAATATCGAATACACACTTCAACGTGAGGATATCACACTTCAGAACGTCAGAATCGTAATTCCACTTCCGTGAGTTATTAGAAATCTAGCCAAAACGATAAGCCAAATGTTTTCCAGAACCGCTACCTCTCCAATCGTTGGCGAATGCGAAGGGGCTTATGAATACATGAAAACAAAGAACGTCATCGTATGGTCGATGCCAGTGATCGACACCTCCAACCCATCTGGATCCCTCGAATTCTCCGTACCCAACGGACATGCTGACCACTTCTTCCCAGTCTCCGTCGCATTTTCCTCCCAAAACCTCTTTGTTCCAATCACTGTACAAGAGGTATCAAGCGGATCTGGTCCAGTTGTCTACTCGTTGGAAACCAATTTCAACTCGGATCACTTTGAAATTGTCTAAATTCATCTGTATTGCCTCCACAGTTTTCAGAACACCTTTTATTTTCTGTGATTTTCGCTGCTGCATAAGTGTATTTATTAACCTTCCCATTATTTATTTGCCACCACCCCAATTATAGTGTTTTCTTGCTGGTTTTTTTTCTCATTGGGCACTCGTTTGTATTATGAACATCCTAGTTTTTTTCTCTGTATCACAAACACTTCATTGAATGTAAAATCATCACATTCTGAAAACAAATGTGCTGGTGGAACAGATCCAGCACATCGATAGGTACAAAACAACGAATACTAGTGCCATCTGGAAGTAAGGAAAGTTCCAGAAGAAGTCGGGAGAGAAGATCATGTATACGGTTGTTGCTAATCCTTCCTTGCCATTTCAACCAGCCTTCTCCTGATTCCATATTTTGAAAAACGAGTTTCAATAAAACAAACATAGAAGCAGAGATTCTAGACAACCAAAATCCATTTGTTGGTAGATTTGTCAATTCCAAGTTCTGAAAGATTTTACTGTTTTTCTGTGGTTAAGGATTTCCAACCTCTTCTTTTAAAAGCGCAAATAGAATATGAGCAATAGTCGAAGGTACTGAATTTTTCAGCGAATCCACTGTTGAAAAGCCTTCAAATAGATCGGCGGAGGAATTCTAAAATTATCTTATAAATTTTTTTTTTGAAAATAATTTTTTTAACTTACCTGATTGCTCAAAAGAGCCTGTAAAGCGATTGGTTCTATGAATAAAGAATCCTTGCTTTCCAATTTTATATCACTGGTGACAAGCATTTTCGATTGACCCAGAATTTGGTCCATTATCCATTCAGGGTCGAAATTATCCTTTGGAAATAAATTTGCCTGAACTTAATAGATTTTTATAGACAATCCCAATTTTCAAGTCTTACTGAATTGATATAATTTTGAATGGCAAACGTTTGATTTTCCAGTGTATTCCTTCGTATCAAATCGTGACCGTATAGGCTTAGCCAAGGACTGGTACCCGAGGGAAACATCTTTTTGAGGTTTTTAGGAATTCTGAAATAAATAGAAATTTGGAAAACTTTAATTTTCTTGAACAGAAGTTCTACAGGACCACTCAACCCTCCAACTTTGAGCCCATATATCTCGGTTCCTGAGAAATATATGGAAAAGTGAGTAACTGAGAAAATACTTTTGACATTATGATAAAAATTTTATCAGTTGACCACTTTTTGATATCTTTTACAGAAATTGAGATAAATTGGGGTCGTTCAGCCGACTTTCTAACTTTGAACCCATATATCTCGGATCCTGTCAAAGATAAAGAAAATTTGTCAACCAATAAAATGCTTGTCATAATATCAGCAACATTAAATCAGTTGACTACTTTTTAATATTTTTTTGAAGGAACTGCGATAAATCGGGTTAAAGCTAAAAGGTCGGCAGCCAACCTTGTAGCTCTGCTGACTGTCCAACTTTGAGCCCATATATCGCGGTTCCTGCAAGAGATTTCAAAAAGTGGTCGAATAATAAAATGTTTATCATAATATCAAAAATATTTTATATGTTGACCTTTTTTTACTATCTTATAAAGGAACCGAGATAAATCAGGTTACAGTGAATAGGTCGACAGCCGACCGTGAAGCTCATAGTCAGCTGATCCTCCAACTTTGGACCCAAATATCTCCATTTCTGTGAAAGATATAATAAAGTGGTCAACTGATAAAATTTTTATCAACATGTCAGCAACATTTTCTTAGTTAACTACTTTTTGATATCTATTAAAGGAACCGGGATAAATTAGCTCAAGGTTGAAATTAAATAAACTCACTTCTCCTCAAAGACATAGCTCTTCATCTGCTCCATAAACCTTTTCCTATTCTTCCATGATAACTTTTGATTTCCATGTTCATTTTCAAAGGTTTTTACATGCAAATCCATTCTTGAAACTTGCCGGATTATGAAAAATTCGTCACATAAAACTAGCAAATCCATTGGTAAAGGGAGATGTCCTCCGAAACCATTGCAGATTAGATAACGCTGAAAATGTTGAGAAATTTGTACTTGGGGTTTGAAAAGTGGCTGGAAAAAACTTCAAAACGGGACCTTTATTTTTGTGGTGGACAACTTTTTAAAGATTTTTGAAATACGCGCCTTTAAAGAGGGCTGTATCTGCGCCACCACATAAATGTTTAAAGACGCATATCTCAAAAACACTTAAAATTAGAACAAAGTTTACAACTACAAAAGTTTAGCTCTAATTCGGTTTTCTACGCTCTGAAAGTTCGCAAATTCAGTCTGTGCTCACCTCTGAACTGCCTGGTCGACTTGCCATTGGCTTCACAACACGAATCTCCGAAAAGTTATCAGCTAACAAAAACATAACATCTTGAATCTGTTTTTCACAAAATCGATAAGTCTTCAGAATCAAAGAACCACCAGGTTTCAAGAGCAAAAGAGCTGCATTGACTTCAGCACGGATCAGAGGACCCACTATTTCTTCTATCTGTCCTTCTTTTCCCTGTGTATTGGTACTCCCATCCGCCGTTACCAAATCGAATGTCCCTTTAAGCCCCTTCTCTATCAAATAATCCTCTGTCAGCTTTGCCACATCACCATCATCACTCGGTCCAAAATACCAGTTCCTCTCATGACCTCGGATATGTGAATCGTCTATGAGCTTCTCAAAACAACTTCGATTTTCAAAATATGGGTTTAGTGTATTCGCGCCCCAATGCCATTCGGAGTGTTGGCTGGTGGTGCGGAGTCGGTGGACATAGATGGCGTCGAGGAAGTATCCGGGACCCTCGCATAGATGGAATGAGCTGAAAGTTGAGAATCAGGACAACTGTAGAATGGGGCAACTTACTTTAAATTATCCCATGGTAAATGATTCAAAAATCCTGATTCTAAAATTTCCAGCATTTTCAGGAATGCTTTATTCTTGCAAATGAAGTGGTTTCTGAGAAACAGTTATAAGTTTTTAAAAAGTACAGTTTTGGTCTCTCAGATTCACCTTAAAATATTCGGGCACCTCCAGTAATCATGCATCAAATCCGTGTGCTCATCGTATGATTTTGAGTTGTTGATAGATCGAATTTTTAGCTGAAAATCTATTTAGATAAGAAATTGAAGCCCTGTAAATCAAAAAAAAAAACTCACAGCTACTTCTTCCAGCCTCTTTGAATGGTTCTGAAACTCAAATGTGTCCAATTTTGAGTCCATTTTTTGATGGTCCAAGAAAGTGAACTGAAATTTTCAAAATTTATATTTTTAAAGTTAAAAAGTTTTCAAACTCACGACATGATTGTTATAATAGTTGTCCATTTCCTGATTGCTCATAAATTCAATTGGGTTTGCATCCAATTTGGTATTTTCAGACATTTTCAAAAAAGAAATTAGTCCAAAAAAAAATTGACCAGAATATAGAAAAAAAAATCAATGACCCATTTTTTTCCCAGGAGCACAGAAGAAAGGGTTATTCTTGGGAGAAACCCTGGGTTCCTTGCAAGTGCGCTCTATTGGACACAGCGAGAGGGGAAATGCAAAAATAAGAATCATGAAAGGAGTAAAATGAAAAAGAAACAATTATTTCTTGCATTTTTGGAGAAACTGTTTTTTGGAATTGATTCTATCAATAAAAACGAAGAGTTTCAGTGTTATTATATTGTAAAACCTGTAGTAGAAGGTCCACTTAACTTTGAGTCAATTTATCTTGGCTCCTATCAAAGATTCTACAAAGCTGCCAACTAATAAATTGTTTATCATACTATCAGAAGCATTTTATCAGTTGACACATTTTTGACATCTTTTGTAGAAACCGAGATATATGTGCTCAAAGTTGTAAATGTTGGCGGGGCCTTCTATCAGAGGTTTTACGGTTTTTGAAAGTATCATAAATTTTTGAACCCCCTGAACCCCACCTGACCCTTCTGAATGTCATTAGTCTCTATTTCTGAAAGATTATCAGTACCAAAAATCACTGATATGAAATCAATATCCTATCATCTTCTTTTCTTGGCCTCCACTTTCATCTTATTGGCTTCGTTCGTTTTTTTCGTTTTGTTAAAAAATCAGAAAATATTTCCAGCATAACTTCAGAAATGACCAGTCGAAAAGTGATGAAAACTGCCTTTGAGCGGTGCCTTAAGGCTGTGAATCCCCGGGAAGCTGTTGAGAAGGTAACTAACGTTCTTAAAAATTTAATATTGCTCATATTAACCTTCAGGCCATCACCATTACCCCTACACATCTCAATTTTCTCAACCAATCCTCCGTTTTAAAATTGTCGGAGCTCTCCAAGATTATTATAATTTCCTTTGGAAAAGCGTCAATTCAAATGGCAATTGGAGCTCAGGATGTGCTTCAGAATATTGAGAAGGTTCAGAAGAAGACATTTGTGCAAGCACCGGAGCAGCAAAAGACGTCGGCTCTTTTGGAGACATTAAATTTTTCTGAAATTTTCTTTGGTGCTAAGAACAACCTGCCCGATCAAAATTCTGTCATTGGAACCAAAACTTTGATTCGGAAAATTCAAGAAGAGGACTCCGAATCCACCCTTTTCCTATTTCTAATTTCTGGAGGAGGATCTGCTCTTCTAGCGGCTCCCAGAGACTCAGTAACATTAGAAGACAAACTGAAGACCATCAAAACTATGCAAGCTCACGGAGCAACAATTCAGGAATTGAACATAGTTAGACAGAAGCTATCAGATGTGAAAGGAGGGAAGTTGTTGAGAAATATCCAAGTAGGTAGGCCAAGTAGGTTTGTCTGTTTTTCTGTGTGAATGTCATTTTTTCAGAAAGGCTTATCCCTTTCTCTTATCATTTCTGATGTGATTGGAAATCCAATTGAGTTGATTGCAAGTGGACCAACAGTCATTCCAACTTTAAAAACGAATATTTTGGAAATTCTGAATAATCTAAATATCCAGGGAACAGACTTACCAGAATCAGTGAGAAAAATTATCAAGAAAACGGAAGGTTAGGCAGGAACACATATCTAAGGGTTCGTCAAAAATCCAAATTTCAGACTCAATTCAACCTCCGAAATATGTCCAGAACCATATAATCTCTTCCAACGATTTCGCCCTTCGTGCCGCTTCTGAATCCCTCACGTCTTCTGGATTCAACACAACTATTGTTACTTCTTCTTTATCTGGAAACGCCGCAGAAATTGGGAGACATTTTGCAGATTTAATCACTGGGAAAACAAGAGATAATCCACTGCTAGGATCTAGTCAGACAAGAGATCTTAAATATCCAATTGCTCTTCTTTTTGGTGGTGAAACGACCGTACACTTGGCAAAGAATCCAGGAAAAGGAGGAAGGAACCAGGAGATGGTTTTGGCATGTTTGGACTCTTTGAAATCTCAAGATCCGAAATTCCAATTCACTTTCCTAAGTGCCGGAACCGATGGACAGGATGGTCCAACTGATGCAGCAGGTGCAATAATCTCCAATGAGGATCTTCTGAATCCCATGACATCTTTTTCTTCTGAATACTTGTCTCGGTCGGATTCCTATAGTTTCTGGAGTAAGTTCAACGAAGGAGCGAACCATTTGAAGACGGGACCTAGTGGAACTAATGTGATGGATATTCAGATTCTGTTGTTGAATGAGAAAAAATAAATAAAGATAGTTTTTCTTGTGTATAGGTTACAAAACTCTCAGAATTAGAGAAAATATTAAAACGAAGAGATATTGTAGTCCAGAGGCATCAGAAGTAGTTGTTTGAGGAGAGCTTTTTGTCACCGTCACTGGAGTATTAGATGCGGTGGTCTTTGGAGTGTTTGTTGTCACAGTCCCTGGAATATCAGAAGTCGTTGGTGGTGGACCACTCGTTGTCACAGACACTGGAGCATCAGAAGTCGTTGGCTGAGGAGAACCTGTTGTAGCAGTCACTGGAGGAACAGATGCGGTTGTTTGTGGAGAGCTTGTTGTCACCGTCACTGGAGTATTAGATGCGGTGGTCTTTGGAGTGTTTGTTGTCACAGTCCCTGGAATATCAGAAGTCGTTGGTGGTGGACCACTCGTTGTCACAGACACTGGAGCATCAGAAGTCGTTGGCTGAGGAGAACCTGTTGTAGCAGTCACTGGAGGAACAGATGCGGTTGTTTGTGGAGAGCTTGTTGTCACCGTCACTGGAGTATTAGAAGCAGTTGTTCCTGGAGTACCTGTTGTACCAGTCGCCACTGTAGTACTCCCATATTCCTTATCAAACGTCACTGGAGTACTATAATTCTGATTCTTCACATAGTTTTGGAACATTTGGAACGTCTCCTTTGGTTTTTGCTCAGTTGCGGCTGGGAAGTGACCACCACCTTTGATAGAGATCAATGTGATTCCATCGTACTCTGTGACCTGGCCAACAGCCATTGGAAGTTGCACTGGATCGTTCCAGTATGTCATTGGAGTTTTCAATGGGCGTTGTAGAGTTTTGTAAATGAATTGGGAGTTTTCGACATAGTTGCATAGGGTGTCAGCGTCTCCGTTGAACATAGCGACCTGAAATAGTTAACTGTTTTAACTTTGATGTTGTTACAATAAAATTGAAAACTTACATGTTTCTTCGCATTGATCACCGTATTGAAAAACGCCTTCATAGTTGGATACAGCGATATATAGTTCTTAGCGATCTCATTACTAAAAAAACCTTTTTCTGTAAATCAGTTCCTGTAACTCCAGATGTCCTGACTCACTTGCACATTTCATATTTTGGAATATAATCCGGAATACGTAACGCCTTTCTGACTTCTGCAGAGTTTAGATACGGGAAATGATCACTGTGTGAGGCACATACAGGCTGCCCTTGAATGTCATTCTAAAAAACGGACATCTAGACCCACAGACACACAGATGGACTTACAGATGGTGGGGTAAATTGTCTTGATGTGATCTTTTTCATCAAATGATTCCTCAAAATTTCCTTCTGTGGCTTCACCATCTCCTCGTGTGGTGGATACGGTAGATTGGGGTTCAAGTAACAAGCGAAATACAAAAAGTATGGATCATATCCGGTATAGTAGATGGAGTAGCTCAAATCGTTTACCTATAAAGGTGTTAGTTAGGTTTATCTGTTTATCCCGATGTCCGCTACCAAATCCGAGCAGTTGCTGGTTTGTTGAGAAATCGTGTAGTAGTCGCAGTCCATAGTTCCATTACAGCATTGTTGCACAACGTTTTGTACATTGCTTCAAGCAATTGAGATTAACAATAGAGCGAATATGCAGCATACCTCTCATCCATGACTGCATGGTAGTATTGATACATAATGTTGGTGTTGAAGTTGATTTGGTCATCCACACATCCATTTCCGACTAGCATGCCCTGAAAAATATGACACAAAAGATGAAGATTTTGTTATTCGGTAAGTCAGATTCTACCTTAAACTGAGGAAATGTGTCATTAGAATGTGTGATTTTTGCAGACAACATTGGTACATAAGTTCCACCATACGACTCTCCAGCAATGTACAAGTCATTGGTTTTGTATTCCGGGAAGCGCTAAAACAGTTAACTTTTCTAGATTCAACAACTCCTACGCTTACATCAAACCACATTTGGAGAGCCTCATAGTTGTCTTGAGCTACCTCATCATCAGTGAAAACCTTTTTGTCCGTTGTATTATAATAAGAGAATCCCACGCCAGCTGGTGCGTCCAAGTAGATAATATTGGCTATCCTATTCCAGGTCCATGGGTTGCGAACCACTTGTTCTCCATTGTTTCGTACACGGAATGGTCCCATTTCGATGAACAACCCCTCCATCGAAGCACATCCTGGACCACCATTAAGCCATAGAACCAAAGGAGCAGTGGCTGGGGAGTCTTCGGATTCAATGTACCTGGACGCCGGAAAATATGAAACTTCAACTAAAAGATTTCAAATTTACCAATAGAAAAGCTGCTTGGTAGCAGAAATTGGCAGGTAACCAGCATAATGTTTCGATCTCAAAGGTTCCGTGAGATTAGGAAGAGTCTGAAAATTTTGAGAAGATTTCAAACAAACCAACCCTCATGACTTACAGTAATCTCCTGATCGACTGGAGCAGCGTGAACACTAACAATAGTGACTAAAAAAGACACAAAAAGCAACAACATAGTCTATCAAAATTCTAACACATAAAAAAGCGCTAATGACAGAAAATTTAGTGTGTTATCAGTGTGGAGGAAAAGGTGCGATCATAAATGATTACTATTGATAACAGAGTAAAAAGAAAAGAGTATTTAGGTGTTAGGGGATAGATGATGAAATGAAAGAGGGGATTATAATAAGTTGAAAAACTGGAAATAGATTTTTTGAATACAAATTTCTGGAATGAGTTCCAGGTGATAGAATGTGATTGATAAAAAAAAACGAAATGCTTCGTTTTTGAACATCCGGCGTTCGAATACGAGTTCCTAGAAAAGGTGAGTGTATCGAAAAGGTCAACTACTAAGACCTGTACTGATTAGCCAGACTATAAAGCCTGTTGATCTCTCTTGAGGCTCAGTACTCGAAAGAGAAAGAGGATCTTTTACCAATGGGATCCTTTCAAAACCCATATGCTTCAGAGCATCGGAGACAACAACCGAGATTCAACAGTTCGAATCCAACCTCATCCACACGCCTGCTTCAGAGAATTGAAGATAACACTCGAGAACCAACAGTAACGCGCTCCGATCTGTGAGCAAATGGAGGTGTCCAATTGAGACTCAATATTGAATTTTTTCGACTCTCTTTTAGTTTTTTTTGTCGATACGTGCCCCTCGCCACTTGCGACTCCCCCAGAGCACCTCCAAAATAGTAGTGTTGTTCTATAAACCCATTTTTTTTCTCCCTCAACGTCATCAATACTCTTTCAACCTCATCTAATCTCCTGATGGGCGCTCCAAATATACCTCTCCTTATCAGAGACAACAACATCTTCTTCGTCTTCTCTGGTTCTCTTGCCTCTTTTCCAAGAAGAGCTCATTGTTGCGTTGCCACCCTTTGAGAACTCCAAATCCTTTTTCTCGCCACTAAATCCCCCCGACATCCATTCCATTCTCATGAAAATGTGCATCCTTCGAATGCCCAACTTGTGCGTTAAATATCTCCGATGGCATTCTTATGCTACCGTAATCCTAACCACCGTCTATGTCCTCTATTTGATTCTGAATACCATTGTCGCGGAAAACCTCACTTTGGCTGTTATCCTTTTTGGATCGATTCTCGTCGGTGGGATGATTTCCTATGGATTTCATCAATTGGTTTTGATCATCATGAAGTGCATCAGCGTGAGCACTGTCAAACAAGCTAAAGTTATTGTGTATATCGCTCTAATCAATAGCGCAATCTCTGGTTATGCACCGAGGGTGATTGTTTGTTTCGTTGGGTGGGATTTCAATGTGAGTAAAATACCAATACCCCAAAATCCCCAATTTTTAGAAAATGCTCTTCACTGTCTTCGGATCTCTTTACCTATCTGTCTTTTCAAAATTCCAATACTTCTCCTCAGTAGATTACAAGGTTAAGTATATCTCAAGACCACGATCCATAAGCATTCTCTTCGGAATCCACGTGGTTCTCCTTATCGCTTCTCTTAAAATCGGCATGTTACATCACGACGTCTGGGATACTGTAGCTATATGTGCTGTTCAAATTCTGTTCACCCCACTGTGCCTACTTTCTACTGTGGATCTGATGATGGTTGTGTTGGGAGCTGAAGAGGTTAGATTCTTTCCTAACTCGAGAAATTCGGTCCAACCAGCCAGCGGAGAAAATATTCAAGTCGTGGAGAGATCCAGGTAGGATTCTTGGAGTGTAAGAGCAACTGAAAAACTTTCAGTATCAATTGTCGGATATGTCGGTTGGAGTTCACATCTGAAAGATGTCCCCGAATGTTTCGTGAGTGCGGTCACAGTGTTTGTAATACCTGTGCAATTCGGTTTGTGGCCAAGCACTATGGTCGGTATGCAGAATGCCCGTTTTGTCATTGGATTACTGTAGTTAGAGGTATGTATGCCATTGAAAGAACTACCGTAAAACCTGTACTAGAAAAACCTTCTAACTTTAAACTTTGAATCAATTTATCTCGGCACCTGTCGAAAATATCAAATAGTGGTCAACTGACAAACTGTTTATCATAATACCACAAAAAGTTCATTAGTTGACCACTTTTTGATATCTTCCGCGGGAAGCGAGATATACTGGCTCAAAGTCAGCAGTTTGGCCGACTTCTATTAAAGGGAATACGGTATTCTTAATCATGTCTAACCGTTTTGGATGGAATTTGGCGGAAAACTTATCCACTATCAGAGTATAGCTCTATTTTTGTTTTATAAGTTCTAGAATAAAATTAATTTTTGTATTTTCAGGATCGATAGAAAACATGCCCAAAAACTACATGCTGATGGATCTTGTGGACGAAGTGAAGCAGAAATTTTAATTTTCATTTTTTAATGTACTTTTACATGTGTTTTCTCACTCTTTTCTTTGTACTTACAATTAGAGGATGGATGTACAACGATAAGATCAAATGGTCCTTCTTGCACTTATCTATCTGACCATCACCCTCTCTTTCTCGTTCTCTGTCTTCCTCTTCTCATTCAGGTTTTCCCTTACCCCGCAATTTTCTAATATTTCTCTCCATCTCAATTTTTATTCGTGATTAGAAAAAAACCGGTCGAACATGCCCAAAATCGACGCTATTCAATTCTCGTGCTATACAGAACTTTATCTATTCGTCTACCTTTTATTCCTTGCCACCTACGTCATCAACAATGTTTTATCCATCATATTTTTCCAATACACTACACATGACTGGTTACTACTGGCCGTAACCATACTGACGTGTTTACTGATACTCGGAGCTCTTTGCTTGCTGAAATTTTCAGTCGAATGGATAAACAAAACATGGAAAGTCGGCGAACTAGAAGCCAGGCGTAATCAGGTGCTGGTTGGATTAGGTGGTACGGCGCTCTGCGGGATTTTGCCCGGGGTTTTGGTACACTTTGTGGAAATTGAAGAATGGGTAACGGATTTTTTATTAAAACACCCCTTTAAAAGTTAAAACTTGAATGAAAAATAAAGCCCTCGAAGTCAACTTCCGGATACTTGAATTGTCAACGTTGCTTATTTTAGGTTACCGTAAAACCTGTACTAAAAGGGCCCCTGCTAAGTTGGAGCTAAGTTATCTTTGCTCCTATTCAAGATATCAAAAAAGGGCTAATAGACAAAATGTTTGTGACAGTATGATTAACAATTCATTAGTTGACAAGTTTTATATATCTTTGACAAAAACCGAGAAAAATTGGCTTCAAGTTGAAAGTTCGATGACCCTTCTATTAGAGGGTTTACGGTGTTTTTTGTTAATAATGTCTGATTGGTGTTAACATGTTTAAGTAACCAACATTTGTCAAAAGTTCAATTTTCCGTAATTTCAGACAGTATACTTCACCGTCATCGTCTTTACCACCACTGCAATTTTCTTCGGGATCCTCTATCTCCACACTCTGCCTCGAAACTGCAAATTCGTATACCGTATCCATGACAAAGTCTCCTGGGCTCTCATCATTGCTCATTCGATTATTCTTCTAATCACTATGATCCTAGGAATTGACCTACAGGATTGGCGCCGCTCAATTGTCATTATACTGTGCCATGTGTCATTTTCAGTAATGTGTGCTTCTAGTACAATTGAGATTGTGAAGGTTTTGAGAGGAGAATTCAGGATTCTGGAGGATGCTGATGATCCTGAACTGAGTGTTAAAATGGAAAAAGTACGAGTAATTGTTCATAAATCTGAGACGGATCCACAATTAATTGAGCCAAGGATCACAATGTTTAATTATTCGATTTAACAATTTCTAATGAAGTTAAACTTGTTCATTTTCATGTTGAATATCCAGCACAGCAAAGTTTTTGGGCAACGAGTCAATGGATCCTAAAACAAAAAGTTTTGATCTACACTCCAACCAATACCAACCCTCCACAATAGTTTCCTGTCTGCATGTGGGACACTGAATCTTATTCGTGTCTCCTTTGAGATTTCTAGCACATTGTTGGCATATTGTGTGTCCGCATTTGAGGATTCTTGGAATTTCTGTTTCACTAAACTTCTCAATGCATATTGGACATCCGGAGTGGGCAGGTTGTCTGACGAAGTGTTTCTATTACTATAAAACTAAAGGCATTCAACCGAGCTTACCTTTGGCCGCCTATTTGTAAAAGTTCTATATGTCTCGGTTGATACTTTTGCAATCCACCCCAATATCCGACCATAAGATCCAACAAACTCGCAGTGAAAAATGAATAATAGGATTGGAAGAATATAACTCCGAATTTCTTTTCGTATTCCAGCCCTTTGGTTATTCCAAGTACAAGTGCCAACCCATTTACCAAAATCCCAAAGAAAATGATACCAAACCTGCCTCGGTACTTCATTTGGTATATGCGAATATGTTTATGGACAATGGAATAGAGGAATGCAGAAATAACATTGAACGTGAAGAATATATAGAATAGAACCTGAAAAAAAACCGAACTTGCAAAAATCCGGGCACCGCTCGCTGTTTGTAGAGAAGCTGGTGTTTTTTGGATTTTGTTTTTTGGAAAATGTTAAAATTTTCACAAAACATCAAACAAAAACTACGGTCTACGATCTACTTTGACTAAGACTTTTACTCGACTACTTTGTTATTTTTTTTCTCGGCTGTCGACGCCAATACTTGCACAAGTATTTGATCACATTGTTCTATGTATTAGTTAAGAATTGTGGTAAGCTTCTCCTAAACTTGTGGGAGGCTTGGCCAAGTCTTGTATTCTGTTATTGTAACGACACAAGACTTGGC